ATGGTCATGCATGCCTGTAACCCCAGCAATGCAGGGTAGAGACAGGATCCTGGGGTGCTCACTGCCAGCCAGTCTAGACACACTAGCATCTTCAGGTTCAATGAAACACTGACTCCAGGGAATAAACAATAGAGGATATCTGATGTCTGTGTGTACACCTGCACACTCACTTGTGCATTGCACACACACTTCCCCAATAAAGAAAAATTAATATATGACTGGAAAAGACATTTACTGATTCCATTAGAAACAGGGCGTTTTACTCTTTTCCTGTATTTAGAACTTTAGCCTTTTTTTTTTTTTTTTTTAAATAATGATGTTGGGGATCAAACCCAGGGTCTAGTGTACGCTAGCCAAGTGGTCCACCTCTGAGCTGGGTCCCCAGCCCTCATATCTTTTTCTTGACTGAGAACTACTTTTTTGTTTCTCCTTACTTTGTTTATATTTCTCTCTAGCACAAGCATTTAAGGTTTCAGTGACACCTTTTACTAAAGGAGCATACTTGTTATCACTCTGTTACTGTAGCTGTACTGAACAGTATGGAAAGAGTTAACAGGTGGGGCTGATGGGCTAGACTCACTCCTGGAACCTCTGGTTTCTCAGTACCTAAGTGCTAGCTGGGATATGCTAGGTCTCCAAGTCTGCTCTCTCCTGAACCTGTGAAGTTTCTCGGTTCATCTTCTACCTCCAACCTTTGTAACCCCCGTGTGACCTTTGTCCTTGTATTAGAATGATCTGGCTAAAATGTGAATTTCAGTGGTTCTTCAACAGCCCGTGTTCTCCCAAATCCCCAGTAAAGTAGTACTTGTGATGGTGGAGGAGCCTTCCTAACTGGAGTTCCGTGAGAGAATGAAAGCCTAATGCCACTGGGCACCTGTTGTGTGTGTGTGAGATATTAACTTCTCCGGGGCATCTACAGTGGCACTCCTTATGTACAGTCTTGAGGGAAATTGAGAAAACAGTCACTCCAATCATTTCTTTTGTTCTGGGGCTCAGCTGAGGAGCGCAGTTGTGAAAGACTGGAGGAGAGAGAGTGCTGTATTTCAGGAGGTCTAAGAGGATAGCGGGCAGCTTCAGGGGAAAACCCATCAACTTCATTGAAGGCTGGGGTTTCATCTTTACCTTTTTTAAGTGAATGCTGCATTCAACTATGTAATATGTCCACGGTTTAAAGTGTTTTTAAATATTTATCAATGAATAGAATTCATTCAGTAGGAAGATTTGCCTAGGATCTGTGGAACTACAAATAACTATCCCCTTGCTTTAAGCACTAGAGAGGGAATTTTAGATACATTTTTCAGTGTCTGTAGGAAAATTGTTGAGGATCACAATTATGAGATGTCAGAGTCAAGAGACCAACCCAAGTATGTCCTAACTCCAAAACCCATGTATTTTCTAATGGCTGAAGTCTGTTTACCATTTCTGAGTTTATTGTCATTCAAATGTAGGATTTTTTTTCTTTCTGTAAAATTACTAGTGTGGTTCGGGTTATGCATAATTTCATACTTGTTATACAGAAAACAACCAGTCCTAGATTATTTAAAAGAAAAAAACGAGCAGTTGGTACAGATAGTTCCATATAGAAGAGAATCTTGTCCCTTTTTAATGTCTTTGCCTGCATGCGTGTCTGTACACTCGGTGAGTGCAGTGCCCTCAAAGGCCAGAAGAGAGCATCAGATCCCCTGGAACTAGAGTTAGATAGTTGTGAATCACTGTGTGGGTGCTGGGATTAGAACTATGTCCCCTGGAAGAGCAGCCAGTGCTCTTGACTGCAGAGTCTTATCTCCAGCACAAAAAAATATGTTTTGGGTTTTTTGTTTTGTTTTGTTTTGTTGTTTGTTTGTTTTGAAACAGAGTCTATGTAGCCTTGTCTGTCCTGGAACTTGTTTCTAGATCAGACTGGCTCCCAACTCAGACACTACCTGCCTTACCACCAAAGTGCTGAGATTAAAGACACAGGGCACCATACCCAGGCAAAAGAGCCATCCTTTTAAAAGAAATAGCAGACCTTCTTTTCTGATTGTTTTGTCTTGATGGATATTAATATTAATATTACTTTTCTCACTCTTTTAATTCTATTTATTTATTTGTCGTTTTTTTTTTTTTTTTTTTTTTTGTTTTTTGGTTTTTCGAGACAGGGTTTCTCTATGTAGCTTTGCGCCTTTCCTGGAACTCACTTGGTAGCCCAG